CACTTGAACTCAACCCCAAGCAACAGTCATTGAGACGCAACCGATTGAGCCAGACCAGCAGCAACATTCAGCCGCCGGTCACAGCACTCGGAAGCGCTCGGTCACTCATCAGTTACCAGGCTCCATCCAACTGACACGCCTTTGCAGGCGTCCCAACTGTAACCAGTCGGGCCAAGGCCAATCAGAGAACCTTTCACTGGGCAAGCTTGGAGTTCCAGCCGTCTGCAAATCGTGGAAACTCAACCGTGTCGACCGGGAGCCGCCATTCTCTGCTTTCAGCTTCCACCTCCTCTGCTCAACCATGGCAGCACGGCACGTGAAAAGGTGTATTGCAAGTCATAGTAAACTTAAATGGTATTTCTGGAACAAACCGCACACAATTTGCTGCAAGTAGGGAGGGCCACGGGCCACCAGTTGACAGGAGAGGGAAGGGTGGAGCGCCCTGTGTAAGGAACGGTGGGATGGGCAGGGGCATGCACTATAGCAGAGGATGGAGGCCCCAGGGGGCAGGCAACGCATCTACAGGCTGCACCATGGTGTTTGGTGCTTGCCCAGGAGCAGCCAGCCAGGGACCTGACCTCCTGGTAGGTATGGGGGTGGGGTGTGGCCAGCCAGGCCGCGCCAAGCAGGCGATAGGCGGCTGGGCGGCTGGAGCTGCGGCGTGGTCACGGCGACGGTATGGCGCTGGGCAACGCGCCAAGGTGGCGTCGGAGCTGCGCCCCGCCTCCAGGCCTTCACCATGCGCGATGGCACGCCGGCATGTTGGCATGGGAACGCCAAGCCCGGCACGGAAGCGGCGGTTGATTGAGTAATGGCACAGCCGACCGCTGCGGCAGGCCACTTTGCACTCCTGCCTGCACCCTTACATGTGCAGCCTTCTGGTATTTTCATGTGCCTGGGAGATGTGCGGGCATGGGGGCCCGTGTGCCCCATGCCATTTGAGTGCCCGGCGGCGGCGCTACCTGCCGCCGGGAGCCCGCACCAGCATCGGCACCCGTCGGCCTGGCAGGCCTAAGCTGCTAAGGATCCCCACGTCCCCCACCACGCTGTGGGGGTTGCGTGTCCGGCACGACGGGGAGTGGGCCCGGGGTGGGGTGACCCTGGGACGCTCAGCTTGGGGGGAGGGTGGCTGGAGCCATGGTGTAGCAGGTCTCAGATCCTGCTCAGCTGATAGTACATAGTTCCCTCCATTCATACCTGGCAATGCTGTGCTTTGCATGCTGTGCCACCACTATTGCTGATTATTAAACCCTAAACCCTAATTTGCTGGGCGATTGAAAGCATTTCAATGGCAACGGGACGAACAGACGGCAAAGCGAGTGACAAACTCAAACCAAAACGGGAGTTGCACATCATATATTTGTGCAGCCAACTGTCACCTCCCACCCTGTGGAGGGGCACGCACCATTAACTTGCAACAAGAACGTAGAGACACCAGCGGGACGAGGGATAGTGAATATCCCGTTGGGGAGGACGTCGCGATAGGCAAACCACAGACACTCCTTGGGGCAACCAGATGTGGGAGCCAGGCGTGCCACACAGGGGCCGTTGCTGGTGACGGTGCCGTTGCCGACTCTGCACTCGGTTGCCTCGCACGAATTACCGTTCTTGTCGAGCAAGCATCCCCTATCTCTGACCCCACGGGAGGGTTTGCCCTCAGTCCCGGTCAACACTCGGAAAATTTCGGCGCCGGTGTCGCCACGATACAAAATGTACTCATCGGGCTGCGGAGGGCAAGGGCAGGAGCGGTCAGGCCATAGCATTTGCAACTCCAAGATTGTGACAAATGCCTTGCAGTACTCACAGCTGAGAACGAATTGATAGTTAGCGTCAGATTGACGCCACCAACGTTGTTGACAGTGTGTGTGAGGTTGCTCGCACCACCAGTGAAAGTGACAAAATCGCCGCAGCTTATGTCTTTCGTGCACGCCTTGTTCGTGCAGGAGTAGCCGAAGCCAGAGGGGCAAGTGAAGCCGCACAGGCCGCAATTCGGATTTGAGCTCAACGGGTTCTCGCAGCCGTTGGCGGTGTTGCCATCACAGTTGCCAAACCCTGCATTGCACGCAGGACACAAACGGGTCAGCAGCGGGATCAATGCTAGGGTGCAAGCAGACCAGCCAGTACCACGCCGAACGCACCTGGGTTGCACTCGCACACTCCGTTGACACAGCCCTGGTTGGTTCCGCATGTGGGAGTGCAGACTGGGGGTGGCGGTGGCGAGGGTGGCGGTGGCCTGGGTGGCGGTGGGCTTGGAGGGGGAGGCGAGGGTGGTGGTGGGCTTGGAGGAGGAGGCGAGGGTGGCGGTGGGCTTGGAGGGGGAGGCGAGGGTGGTGGTGGGCTTGGAGGAGGAGGCGAGGGTGGCGGTGGGCTTGGAGGGGGAGGCGAGGGTGGTGGTGGGCTTGGAGGAGGAGGCGAGGGTGGCGGTGGGCTGGGTGGCGGTGGGCTTGGAGGAGGAGGCGAGGGTGGAGGTGGGCTTGGAGGAGGAGGCGAGGGTGGCGGTGGGCTTGGAGGAGGAGGCGAGGGTGGAG